ATGTACCTTATGATAATCGAGGCACAAGTCCTGAGGAGTTTCCTAGTTGCATAAAATGACTTTGGCAAAGTTTCACACTTTGAGAACGCATCCTTGAAAAGCTCAAGCAACATCATGCAAGACTTGTCACTCCATTCACTAAGGCACTTGATATGCAATAACCGAACAACAAATGAGAGCATTGAAAACTTCTGACACCCAAGATACAACTCTCTTTCAGCCTCCTTCAATAAATTGAAGAATTTTTTAATTTTTTTCATCTGGACCTTATTTAATACCAGAACTTGCTACTTTGTGAATAAAACTTGGTGAAGGAAGTTCAAATCCCTCATATAGTATTTCATTCGTTTCATCACCATCTTTCGAATCAGTTTGCCCAACATTCAAATTGTGTGGCACAGGCGACGACAATTTCTCCCCATGAAAAATCCAATTGGTGTAACTTGGAAGAAACCCGTTGATCATTAAATGTTCCCCTAAGAGGCCATTCTCCACTAATTTGATATTATGACACTGTTTACATGGGCATGTGACTTCATTCAACAACGACTTATTTTCACATGCAAATTTAATAAACTCCTTAACCCCTTGTATGTATTCCGGATGCAACCTATGCTGATTTATCCAACTTTTATCCATCTAACTCTGTCTTACACTACAAATGTCACTGCCAAATCAACAAAGTTCAAAATTACTATCTCATTTTAATTAATCTCAACCTCAATTAAGTACCTTATAATGCATGCGACATGACATCATTCACCTCTAACCGATCTCTAATATGTTAGTTCATCCTACTTTCCCATTCAAGAATGCACGGTCTATATTGTAAAAAACAGTTCATACCACTCTGTTCATCTCTAATGAAATTTCAGCAGCTTCTCCCCATAGTTCTCCAAGTACACAACATAGACTGGGTGTACTACTACAACTTGTCTAGTATGCACCCGAAGAACATGATGAGCTGCTACACAAAATCTCTACGAGATGGACTGTAAGCGGTAGAACTACTAATTACAATATAGACTTGTGCTCCTAAACTGTCCAAACTAGACAATCCAAAAAGAGCTTCATCAAAGATGACTAGGTGTCTCCAATTAAGATTCTTGGATGGGCCTAAGGCTATTTATGCATGCATGCACCATTAATGATTGCATGCCGACGGTGCAATCTAAATCAATACTATCAAGCATACTAGAAGCATTTCTAGCATGAAGCATATTAATGAAGAAACCAAAAGTTTCTACAATGCTCTTGAAAGATTATGATAGATTCAAGAAATACATTGCTCTCTTAAATCAATCAATAAAGACCAAACTATTACGCCTTCAAATGAAAGCAAGCACAAAGAAAGTCAAATTTAAAAAATATAAAAATAAAATAAAAACAGCCACAGGCCCAAGTAGCTTAAGAACAGTCACAAGCCCACAATTTTAACTCCTCATCATTGAAAAACATTGAAGAATTATTTCAAAGAGTTATTGTCTATCAAATATTGAACAAAAATACAAGATTTAGATTGTAGCAAAACGCTGCAATCCAAACCAGTAAACGCACTTCAGAAGATACTATAAACATTATTGAAACAAATTTTTGTCCCAATTAGCAAAGAATCCAATCCATCTTCACTTAAAAAAGCACATTAGTTGATTTACTATCAAACCAAATGATTGAAAATTTTCCTTGCCAGTAGAACCATTTACTTTAATACCATGAATGTAAATCAAATGTGAAATCCAAACATGTTACTGACTACTACTGAGCGCCAACAACTACGTAATTCTCACACAACCAATATTACTGTTTATCATATACTACAACTACACAAATCCAGCAAGAAACTACAAAGATGAACACTAAATCAAAAACTATAATGAAGTAAAAAGAGCCAATTAGGGAGCAAAAGCACCATTAATCACGAGTCAGTTCCATAATCAACATTCAATCTAATGTCACAAACTTGAATATACAACCATTCCAGCTACACAATTTTAAAAAAGGCATTCAAAGAATAATCACTACCACAATCATCATTTTCCAACAAATCACAAAATTAATTATCCTTAAAACGACAATTAACTAAACCATAAATCACCAACTTACGGGAGATTTCACAACGATAATAAGTGTGTTATAGAATACATCTCAAGATCCTAAAAAGTGAATTGTCAAGAGACAGAAACAAGGTTGTAGACAGAGAAATTTACAGCAAAAATACCAATTGGGCATTCCAGAATTGATCCGAATAATATTTCTATCTGTCAATACATGTTAATCCAAGACAGTTAGACACATACGATTTCAAGTGTTTGAGAAAGAGAGGTGGCATCAATAGTCATATATATATATATATATATATAGAGAGAGAGAGAGAGAAAGAAAAAGAAAGACAAATAGAGGTATAGATCTGAACCTTTCTGTTTTCTCTTCAACTGCCTGCTCTCAATGCCTTGATCTCTACATTCACTTCCCCCCAATTCTCAATCCTTATCTACACAAATGAAAATCAACAACCAAATCGACATGGTGGAAGGAAGAGCTTGAGAGATAGAGATAGAGATAGAGATAGAGATAGAGATAGATAGAGTGAGAGAGAGAGACGGTGGTGCTCACATTAGTAGACGACGATAGTCCTCACTATTACAAATGATGGTGGTGGCAGTGGAGCTTCAAAATCGAGACAGAACTTCGAAATCGAGAGAGTCAAAACTTTGAAATCGAGAGAGAACTTCGAATTCGCTTTGAGATAAATCACTAAGCTAAAGAAGGTTGGTTCGATCGATTGAGAGAGATTAGGGTTTAGAGAGGGTTTAGAGAGAGAGAGAGAGAGAAAGTGAGTGAGAGAGATTCGAAATAAGGGTTTTCAATAACATAAGAAATCTATCTGAACTATTATCATTTGAAGGTGTTTTTAAACGCCTTCTATTCTAAAAACGATGTCGTTTTAAATTTTTTTTTAAAATGTGATATTTATAAAACACCGTTAAATATTTAAGAAGTGGCGTTTCAAAAAACGCCGCTAAATAAATACCGTTAAAACCACTTTTTCTTGTAATACTTGTGATCCAAGTAAGCCTAAATTGCCTTTCAATCAATGATTTTTATATAACTGGTCACTAATTTAGAAAATTTCATTAATCAAAATACAATCGAGCTTTCCTCCTTCCCTCGGGGTTTGAAACTTAGTTTTTTCATTAAAAATGGGTTTAGGGATAGAACAGTTGTTTTTGTAAAAAGTCCATTTTTGGTCAAAGCATGGTAATAAAGGTACTATAAGCAATCTCAAATATTCTAAGGATGGTGCAATTACCATTTTATCATTGGAAGGCTTGCAAATATCCAAAATCTTGGGGTCAGTTAAAATGGGGTGTCTACAATGACTTTCTCTGCTAACTACCTCCCTCGACCACTAACCACCTCTCACTATCAATAACCACATTTCATCACCACTTCTTGTTGAAAACAACCTTTAGCTACCACCTTAGGCGGCTAGCCAACCATCATCTTTGACCATTGGTAATCGCTTTCAGCTACTACTTTTCGTAGCCAACAATCACCTCTGACCACTGGCCATCGCCAACCACCTCCCACAGCTGACAACCACCTTTGGTCGTCATTTTCCAACCATTAACAACTCCTCCTGCCAATCACCCGTTTAACTTATTTTCCAACCATCAACTACCACTTCCAGTCCGACTTGCATATGTTAAGCATGCCACCAGTGTTCATTTTGAGCTAGGATTGAACTCTTTATGAGATTTCTAATTGCATTACTTATAGCTTCCTTGTTCATAGATAAAGCGAAATTGGATATACAAAAAATAAAATTAAAAATAAAAATAAAAAAATAATAATTACAAAAATAGGCAAATTACACCGATGGCCCTTACATTTTGTCCCTTGTGTTATTTTAGTCCATACACTTTCAATTCGTACAATTTTGACCCTTGATTTTAAATTTTGTGACAATTTGATCTAATTGATAATGTCAGTAGTGTTTTTGATTGAAAATAATTGCTAAATTGGTTAAAATTAACTCACTGAAGTTAGTAAATTTATAATTTTAGTCTAAAAAATATGACACATACCACTTACATGTATATTTTTCATAATTAAAAAATATTCAGAGTTGTAATCAATTGAACCAAATTAAAACAAAATTATAAATTTAAGGTCAAAATTGAGTCAATTGAAATTACGATGACCAAAATGATACCAGGACCAAAATATAGAGATTATTGTTGCAATTCCCCCCCCCCCAAAAAAAAAAAAAAAATTACTCCAGACCTTACCAAATGGCACATTCACAAATAAAAATAATTTTATTCACACACTTCAAAAATGTAAAATGAAGCATAATCTTTGATTACTTTAAAATAACAAGTTTTATATTTAAGAAGTATATTTACTCCACTCAGTGATATATACTCCATTGTTTTTCTTGATTTAAAATATAAATAAACAATGGGTAAATTAGGCTTTGCTCATTTTATATTTGGTTAATTTTTTATTTAGCCCTTAAAATTTATTTTTTTAATTTAACTTTTTATATTTTAAATTTTTCTTAATTTACTTTTAAAACTAATTTCTATTTAAAATTAGAAAAAAAAAATATGCCATGTTATAAAAATATATTATTAAATTAGAATTCAAGCTATCAGATATGTAAGTTATATATAATAAAATATTATTACGATAGGTGACTATCAATATATATTTTTTGTTTAATTTTAGATATATATTAATTTTTAAAATAAATTGAAAAAAATTAAAATATAATGGAAGAAAGTGTAATTTATCCAAAAACAATTGGAATAGTGACTTGACCAAATGACCAATAGAAATGAGACGGGGTGCCCTTACGCGGCCTCATAGACCACAGTCCATTGGACGGTCAAGATGTTTGTAGGAGGAAGCAGCAAAAAAAAAAAAAAAAACGCAACTCCATCCCCACGTGGTGTCTTATTTCCTCTCTCTCCTATAAAATCCCACACAATTCCAGTCTTCAAGAGAGAGAAATAAATAAATAAATAAACACCGCCATCCTCCTTTCAATTCAAGAAAACATAATTGTTTTTTGATTTCTTTGTGTCTCTATATCTCCCAAGTCTTAACAGCCACAGCGCACATCATGGAAAACATTGGTGATGAATACAAACATTATTGGGAGACTAATATGTTCCTCCAAACTGAAGAATTGGACAGGCAATTAATTTACTCAGCATGACTTTGATTTCCTCATTTGGTTTTGGTTTTGGTTTTGGTTTTGGTTTTAATTTTGATTTTGATTTTGATTTGAAGCAGTTGGGGATTGGATGAAGCGTTCTCGGGGTACTACGATTCGAGTTCGCCAGACGGAGCACAATCGTCGGCGGCATCGAAGAACATAGTGTCAGAGAGAAACAGGAGGAAGAAACTCAATGAAAGGCTCTTCGCACTTAGGTCTGTAGTCCCCAACATTAGCAAGGTGAGCAAGTAATAAAAATCATTATTAATATTAAAGTTGAGTAAAATTTGAAAATCATGTTAGTTATAGCTTAGTTAGTCTTAGCTAGTATACTAACTAGGATTTGGGAATTGATTAGATGGATAAAGCATCGATAATCAAAGACGCCATTGATTATATACAAGAATTGCATGAGCAAGAGGGGAGAATTCAAGCGGAGATAAGGGAACTTGCATCGGGAAAGTCAATGGAGAACAAATACAACTACGCAACTGTTTTCGATGACATGGAAGAACAACAACAACAACATCAACATCATGATGATGATCATGAACAAGAAGACTTGCCTGCTTTGTTAAGATCCAAGAAGAAGAGAATTGATCTCACCTATGATTCTCGATGCTCTAGGGCTTCTTCTCCCTCTCCCATTGAAGATCTCGAAGTTAGTCTCTCTCTCTCTCTCACTCAAAAAATTTTGGTTAATATTATTTTTTAATTAACTTTGATTTGATTTTAGTAGTGTTTTGTTTTTAATTAACTGATTGTGACATAATTTCCACCTCTAAAATGATACATATGCTGTCTTTTCCAATACTGCAATGAAATTTTCTAACATAAAATATAAAGGAAAAAGCAACCAACTCCCAGTGGGCTACTTTTATTTTTTTTTTCATTTAAGGGGAGGTAACACTTCACTGGAGATTGTTTCCATTGGGGGTCGGTAGCACGGCTCAAATATAAATCATATACTTTTTTCCTCTTCATAAAAATATTTTCACAATTTAGGTCAAGTTTGACATACTTCAAATAATCTATCTTTTTATTTTTTTATCTTTTTTCATTACATTACCTATTTACTTTTTTACACATCTTTTCGTAAAAAGACAAAAAACACACTTATTTAACCATTACGCACGCTATAAATATTGAAAGTAATAATTTTCTTACAATATATGCAATTTTTAATTGTTTTGAAAAATTTACAAAAAAAAATACATCAGAATTTATTCTTAAAACATGATAAAATTTGAATTTTTATTTTTTTCAATCTAAACTTAATTTTTTAATTTAAACCATCAGTCCATTTTTGTCAAAAAAAACTAATGAAAAAATAACACGTATTTATTTATAAAATGTTTAAAATACATTTATAAGAGATTATAATATAGATTTTTGCTAATTGGATGTTAATGTGGGGTTTACAACAGTTAAGGGTGTCGTATATGGGAGAGAAGACAGTGGTGGTGAGCCTGACATGCAGTAAAAGAACAGACACAATGATAAAGCTTTGTGAGGTTTTTGAATCTTTAAAGCTCAAAATCATTACTGCTAACATCACAGCTTTCTCGGGGAGGCTCTTGAAGACTGTCTTCGTCGAGGTCTCTTTCTCTCTCTTTCTCTCACTATTTTTTCACTGATTATTACTGGTTATGCGCGTTATTAAAAAATTAATAAAATAAAATATCACATTTAAATTATAATTATTATATATTTTTTTATAAAAATTTAAAAAATCAAACAAATAAACTTTAATTAAAGATTACTTGCACCAAAATTTCTTCAACGGTGAATATCATTTTCCCTCATAATATACGAATTTATACATTTCAATTTCTTTAATTATTTTTTTAGAATACAAAAAACATTTATATTAAAAACAATAATAACATATAATTTCTTTAATTATAAAAATCATACAAATATATTTTTTTAGAGGTCGAAGAAAAAAAAAAGATACATTTTTATAGTTAAAGAATTGAAATAAAAAAATTCATAAATATAAGAATAAAGTAATATTCACTAATAATTAAAAGGGTTCTAATATGACTAATTACTTCAATTACATGGGCTACTTAATATTATTGTTTTGTTATTTTTTTATTTATTTTTAAATTTGAGTCTAAAAATTAAAATTTGACATTATAACACAGAAGAGCACTGAGAGTTTGGCACTAGGTATTAAAATGCTAAATTTTGGCCCTTTTTGACACGTTAATTTTTCGTTTAAAATGTCGATGATGATTATTTTAAAATGATTAATTAAACACACATGGCCACAATAATGGATTTTAAAAATTTTAAAAAAAAAATTGTCATTAATGAATATTTTATTTTTAGATTTGGTCATCCAACCATTAAAAAACTTTTACATCACAATTCTATCGAATCATATCAATCTGAGGAGTCAAAGATGGATCAACATTCGGTTGTTTAACACAAATAGCTCTTATTTACTAAAAGACCTTTAATATAAAAAAATAATAATAATTAATTTTTATATTTGACATAAAAAATGATTTTCTAACCTCTAAATTAAAATTATAAAAAAATAAAACAAATAACCAACCAACTAAACTAACCCATATAGTTCAAATCTTCAGTTTGACTCTCAAAATTACTAACCTTATGGGGGTCAAACTCGAAATAGAATGGAATAGAATAATTATTTCTTAAGTTTTTTTTTTTTTCCCTTATGAAATGATCAGTGAACCCAACACTTACATTGTGTTTAAATCATGAATTTCTATTGAGATTTGAAAAGGATAAAAATGAAAAATTAAAAATTTATTTATTTTTCACTCACATTGCCCTCACATTTTTCCCTAATTGTTTCCTAGTAAAATTTTTCCTAATTGTTTCCTAGTAAAAGTATCTCCAGCAACCATCTTTATTTATTTTAGTTTTTAGTATTTTAGTTAGAAACTGATTTTTATATTTTTGAAGTGTCTCCTCTTTTAGCTATTTTCTGTACCAATAATATTCCCTACTCTCTTTATAGTTCATTCAAATATTCATTTTAGTGTTAATAAAACTAAAATATTTTCTCAGTTGCTTGTTGATTTGGGAAGATGAGCAAGCAAGAGAAATAAATATTTTTAAGGTTAAGTTGTCTTTAGTGCCTCCCAATATTTGTTGAGTGATTTCTAGATTTCTAAAATAAGGAGTATATATAAGCAGTATGCACATGTTTTTTTTGAAAAATATTTCTTTATTTTGACTATAATATAATGACAGTGAGACCATTAAAAATGGTCAGATAAACTTTGGGTGATAAGTGCTCCCAAGAAACATCAAGTAGTTTTTTTTATATATTTATATTTATATATATATATATATATATTATTGTTAAACTACATTAATCATCAATTATGGAGATCTGATTATAAAGAATTGGGTGTGGTTGTGGGTCTACACAGCGAGGTGGGAACCGTCGGACTACTTTAATAAAGTCACGAGGTTCGTTTTTTGCAAATTTTTTTTAAAATTTTTTGTTTAATGTGATGATAATGATTTGCTGTCAAATAATACATATGGTGTATCTGAAAAGTAGAGAGAATAATGTGATAAGATATTGGAGAATTTTTTTCAAGATTCTTAATACTAAGATTTTATAAGATAAAGAGCCTACAATATTTTCATACTGATTGAACTCGGTTAACATCTTTATAGAGAAAATTTAACTCAGAGAAATTTCGTCCCAACTCAAAGAAATTTCTCTAATTTCACAAAGAAATTTTAAAATTTCTCAATGATCCTAGAGAAATTTTGAAATTTTTCTAAGTTTAGTAAAATTTCTTTGAGTCGAGGCTAAAATTGATCTGAGACAGTGATTTCTCTGAATCAAATTTTTTCTATGAAAATGTTGAGAGATCTTAGCTAATAAAAAAAACATCTTGGACCTCTCCCACTACACAAAATTAGAGAGGGATATTTCACTAATTTTCTCTAAATATTTTATTTTATTAACTATTGTAACCTAAATAAACTATTTTAACTGATCCCAAACACCTCATGAGATCAAAAAGTAAAAATGGCCCTCAAAGTTCAAACACCAAAAATAAAAAAATTCACTTTAAACATATGTATTATTAATCTTTCTATCTAATGGCCCCAGTTAATGGGTTCTGTGTGCTTTTGCAGCTTATTATTGTGGAGGGCTTCTTATTTATATTCAAATATTTTTTATATTCACATAGTTAGTTATTTAACTTTTTATAATAAAAAAAATATGTAAAAAAATAAAGAAAATAATATGGTAGAATGTTTTTTTATACGTTATTTTAATTTGGAATAGATTATTTTAACCCATCCCCAACACGATCAAAAAGTAAAAGTGGCCCTCGAAGGTTCAAAAACCAAAAATAAAAAATTTCGCTTTAAACATGTGTATTATTAATCTTTCTATCTAATGGCCCCAGTTAGTGGGTTTTGTGTGCTTTTTTCTATCTAATGGCCCCAGTTAATGGGTTTTGTGTGCTTTTGCATCTTATTATTCTGGGGGCTTCTTATTTATATTGAAATCACATAATTTGTTTCCCACGTTTGTGTTGTTTTGACGTAAAATATTTTTATTAAAAACATTCTGCTCATATTTTGTTATTCTGTTGAACAAAAAGTTAGTAAAATATTTTTTAAAATAAATATTTTTACATCATTTTTTCAAAAATGACTTGTCTTTAAAAATTTTATAAGTTAATTTTTACAAAGTTAACTCTCACTAACTAACTTTGCAATACATTTAACCTAAATAAGTATCTTAACTCACTTAAAAGTCATAAATAATATTTTATTGAATCAAAAATTTCTCTTTTAGATAATAAAATATTTTTGTTTCAAGTGTCAACCAAACGTCGAAAAATAAAAACGAAAACATTTTTTTTAATGTAAAATTAATTTATAAGAAAATTATTTTTTTATAAAATACTTTACGTCGAAACAAACAGAGCATACATATAAAATTTAGGGACAATTCCAAAAAATAAATAAATAAATAAATAAAAATTGAGGCTTATAAGAAAATAAATCTTGAATTTTTAATTTTGTCAATTTAAACCATAATCTTTTAATTTATTTTCAATCTAAACTATTCGCCTATTTTTATTAACTAAAATCGACAGACAAAGAGTATTTTAGTTATTAAACTAAATGTATTTAAATAAATGTCTAAAATATCATTTTTTTATTGGATTTAATGACTAAAATGACATTTTTCCGTTGATTTTATTTATTTATTTTTTAAAATAGACAAATGATTTAGATTAAAAATAAATTAAAAGTTTTGAATTTAAATTGACAAAATTAAAAACTTAGGATTTAATTTGTTAAAAGAGTCAAACCTAACGGTTTTTTTTTTTTTTTTTTTAATTTTTCTTAAAATTTATTTACAATGAAGTACAAATTTTTAATGTTTGTGATGGGTGTGGAGAGAAATTAAGTGTGTATTGAGAAGCTACCATTGTAATATGCACTTTTGAAAAATTAATGTACTTTTTTTTTTTGTCACAAATTAAATGTGATTTAATAAAAATAAATCTAATAATAAATAGCATTTCTCTCTTCTTTTTTTGGACACTTAGGGGTGGTTTGGGATGATCAAAAACTTTTTAATTTTTTATGAAATATGGGTTGAGTAGGGGTTGAATTTGAAGTGATGTGTTAGAGAGGTTATATGAAATAAATAAGATAATATAACTTAAATAGAATAGTGACTTTTTGACTTTTTAATTTTTTTAAATCATGCCAAATAAAGCCTTAATGTGGATATGTGATAAAAGGAAGTTAGATTAGAAGATTATTAATCTTAACATGGCTACAAATATAGTTCTTCCTTTGAAATGAATTAGTCTTAAAAGGTGGTTGGACATATAATCATGGCAGTTAGTATTTCTATAATAATTTGCAATATCATATAAAGTTAGCAATTTTATTAACCACAATCTATTTTTGTTAGCTGACAGTGACATTTTCTAGACCCAATCACTTGAAAAGGAAAAAGAAGAAAAAACTCAAAAATAAAATAAAAAAGTCCATCCCTCTCGTTTAAATGAGGCTACTCATATATGAAGCGGAAGTGAAATCATTAGACCTACAGTCCTTTAACACATGAAAAATTGATCCTAATTCTTTTGTTTTAATGTTACCTTACATGATATAAAAACAAGGTCTAGCTTGTCTCAAATTGAGATTAAAATTAGATCTGTTTAGTCTGGTTTATGAGATTTATTTTTTGGGCCCGTTTCGATAATCTGAACCGTTGTGAACCGTCAATGTGTAGAACTCGTCGAATACTATATGCTTGTAAAAAATTTCGTTGATCGGATATCGATAGCTATGTGATCAAATCAAATTTTTGTAAGCCGTCTATTTTTTACTGTCCATTTTTTTTATACAAAACTGATTTGATCACATAGCTATCGATATCCGATCAATGTGATATTTTACAGGCATATACTACTCAACGAGTTCTACACATTGTAACCACAATCTATTTTTGTTAGCTGACAGTGACATTTTCTAGACCCAATCACTTGAAAAGGAAAAAGAAGAAAAAACTCAAAAATAAAATAAAAAAGTCCATCCCTCTCGTTTAAATGAGGCTACTCATATATGAAGCGGAAGTGAAATCATTAGACCTACAGTCCTTTAACACATGAAAAATTGATCCTAATTCTTTTGTTTTAATGTTACCTTACATGATATAAAAACAAGGTCTAGCTTGTCTCAAATTGAGATTAAAATTAGACCTGTTTAGTCTGGTTTATGAGATTTATTTTTTGGGCCCGTTTCGATAATCTGAACCGTTGAATGTGTAAAATTCGTCGAGTACTATATATCTATAAAAAATTACGTTGATCGGATATCAATAGTTATGTGATTAAATCAGTTTTATATAAAAAAAAAAATTGACGGTGAAAAAATTAACGGATGCTAAAAAAACTATTTTGTTCACATAGCTATCGATATCCGATCAACGTGATTTTTTACAGGCATATACTACTCAACGAGTTCTACACATTGAACGGTTCGGATTATCAAAACGGGACCCATGATGAGCCCGCGACGGTTCATTCCGATCTTAGACTAGACCAAAGTCACTGGCTAAAAAGAAACTCAAATGGAAGTGAACTCAACTAGGAAAAAGTTATTATGTGCTAATTTTAGCATTATCACATAGTACGATAATTGAATGTTATTAATGTATATATATTTGACTTTATCACTTTGTATTAATTTTGTAAAAAATAATGAATTGTTTTAGGAAACTGATTAAAAATTGATTTTTTGACATTTTTTTGAAAAAAAAAAAGTGTAAAAAATGTAAGACAAAATAAATTAAAAGATGAAAGATCGTTTTTAACTATCTTTCCAAAATAACCCAATATAAGAGATAATAATTGGTAATGATATGTGACATAATCACATGATATCCAAAAGTACCAAATAATTTTTTCATTGGTGAATTATGCTAATAGTCCTTATAGTTTGGAGCTTGTATCACTCTAGTCCCGGACTTTTCAATTGTGACACATTTAACCCTGAATTTTGAATCTTGTTTCAAAAAAGGACAATTGAAGATATCATTAGATTTTTCAAGGATAAAATCGTCAATTTGATAAAATATAAACTAATTTGACAAAAATAATGTCAAAAAATTATTTTTGAATTTTTATTTATACTCACTAAAGATAAAATTATGTATAATTGATAAATCTTTTAGATTTTTTTTTTTTTACCAAATTAATTTTTATTGTGTGTTTGAATGATGATCATGTAAAATTAATTTTTAAAAATTAATCATGTAATTTTTATTAATTTGATCAATTTTACATAATTTTATCTTTAGTTGATAGAAATAATTTTTAAAACATTAAAAATATTTTTTTGATATTTATTTTTATCAAATTAGTTTATATTTTATTAAATTGACGATTTTGCCCTTAAAATTAAACAATAGTATTTTCAATTGTCTTTATTTAAAACAAAATTCAAAATTCAAGATCATATGTGTCACAATTAAAAAGTTAGGGACCAAAACGACACAAGCCCCAAACTATAAGATCCGTTAGCGTAATTTGCCCTTTAGGAGTGGGGAGGACCCATATGGAGATGTAGATATTTAAAGACAGACAAAATTCAAGTAAATGAGTCCACATTTCTCACAAAGAAAACGATTGATGCTTCTTCCCGTGAATTAGGGTGAAAGGTTCTTGAGATTCATGTTTTCCCCATATGGGTACATTTTTTTTGTTAATGTTAAGCTCGTATCTCTCCATTGTTTTAGGGATTTCTATATGTATTAGATTGGCGAATATTATCAAAGCTTAAAATCAAAAAATTATAAATTGCTACATCACTATAAATTTTAGAATTTCCTTAAATGATTTTTAGATTTGGAATAAAAAATTGTTAATGTAACTCTTTTATAACTATTAATGATGGAATAAATATAACTCGTCGGGTAAGTGTGAACTAATAGCAGACAATATATAGTTGATATAGTCCAATTGAAAACGTATAACTAAAAGTCATACGTATTCTATTTCATTTCATTTTTTATTTTATTTTATTTTATTTTTCAGGCTGAGGAGGAGGAAAAAGATCATTTAAAGATGAAGATTGAAACTGCCATAGCAGCTCTCAATGATCCAGAAAGCCCTATGAGCACCTAATGACATGAGAGAGTTCCTTTTCATCTTTATGATGAACAATCGAGTGATTTGTGCCTGAATTGATTTTCTATTTTGTTAGGGTTTTTTCTTTTTCGTGCTATTTTTGCTTATATTTATCTCGTTGTTGTCTTGCATGAAGAGTCTATATTTTCTCTCATTACAAATATTTTAATAAATAAAATGTTTTTAATAAATGAATTGCTGGCGGAAATGTTTTCTTTTTTAAGATAAATAAAATTGGAACTAATGTTTGCATGATAAACTATTTTTCTATCGATTATGGTTAAATTTAATTTTATTAATTGTGACTTGTCGATTATGATCACATTATTTATTATTATTTATTCTATTATTAAGTGAAGGTACTATTATTAAGTGAAGGCCTCAATTAGACTAACGAAGCTTTACTCTCCTCATGTCATATGGCAGTGTTTTTTATTTTTTATTTTTTATTTTTTTTTTAAAAAAAAAAAGGTAAACAAAAACAAAGAGGTGCATAAGGCTTGAACCCAAGGCCGGCCCCGAGGGTAGGCAAGAGATGCCTGCACCTTGAGCCCCTAAATTTGGGCTGAAAATAGAGGCTCCCAAATATAATTTTGTATTTTAGATATAAATAAAAAAAAAATAGGCCCAAATACTTAGGCCCAATTGAACATGAGGCTCAAAAAAAAGCAACAAGATTAGATTTTTATTTTTTTAAAATATTTGTAATTATTGTTTCCTATCTTAATATATAAAAGTAATTTTCTGCTTATAATTTTAATGATTATATGTGCAAGTAAATTTTTTTGTAACTACAAACAAATAGAAAAATTGTAACTTATCGTTTTATATATGAATTTTTATTTTTGTTCTTTCAATGTAAGAGGGTCCTATTTTCGAAATTCGCTTTGAGTCCCTAAATCTCAAAGTCGGCCTTGCTTGAACCTCTGATCGTGGGTTTAAGTAAAAAGACTCATACCACTTAAACTAAATATATTTTATAATATTAATTTTATTATTATTTTGTTTTATTCTTACTTATTTGAATTATATACGCATTTCGTGTGCGACCGCTAGTTTTTATATTATTATGTTATTATTATTGTTTTTTTGTGCATGACGTAAATATGATTCCAAAGCATCAGGTGGGTCATGGCAAGGAAAGTGGAAACGTGGACGATGTTAGCTGTGTGAACTTGCTGTAAGGAACATGGGACAGGGGAGGGTGCTGTGACCTATTGTGGCCGCCTGTTGAGGTTTTTATCAATTATGTTTTAATAATTTGAATCGTTTATAGTATAGAATTTGCGGAATATATTATTTATGTAAAAGTTGAGATTAATCGGATATGCGTAATCTTATGATCGGATCATAATTGTTTTTTTTTAAAAAAAATTATTAAAATTATGTTAATCGTTTATTGATTAACATAAAGTGTTCTTGTTATAGGTTACGGATGTCTAATTAACTTTATTTTTTTTACCGATGATCTGTTTGACGTATCTTACAATATAAACGATTTAAATTATCGGAATAAATTCGAAAAACACTCCCATGAGCTCACAACACTGTGTTGTGCCTTAGAGGCACAGCACCCTCCCAGGTTTCTAGGAATATAGCACGAATGGAAACTGCCTGGGGGTAGTTGCTTGAATGGAAAAACTATCAAAGCAGTTAATTACCTATTGTTTGAAGACTTTATCCTATAAAGAGGCTAAGCAGGGACACCCATATGGATCAAATTTTCTGTTTTTATTCTTTTATCTTAGAAGTAGTTTTCAAGTAATTATGAATTGTAGATGTGATGACAACTTCAATTTTAGGAACACGAGTAGTTGTGAGGTAATTTAGTTTCTTAAAATTGTAATCATCTTGTACTCATCAAGGTATTACAATTCTGCTTTTGTGATTGTTGTTTTCAATTCAATTACATACTTATTCTTTCTCCTTTTTTTTTATTATTTATTTTTCTTGGCAATCATTTGATTATTAATTGATTGTTTGGTGAAATTTGAGTTAAGGTTCTGTGATTGAGGCTAAACAAAAATTTTGCTGATAACTAGTTATGTAGTAAGTGAACTTTGGGGCTAGTTATAAAGTTCAAAGTATGGGCTAATAACATTTTGAAATTAGGGCAAATTTTACTTTATTCTCTTGTGGCTTGATTTATGCCTATGTGCAGATTATTCTCTCATTATTTGAAAATAATCACATAATCCTTTTATGATTTATGGACTGAAATACACCATCAGACATTTCATTTCAAGTTAACAATAAGTGTGAACCATGTGCTAGAACCAAATGGGTTATGTGTATGTACTCAAGGAATAAATTGCAATTGGAGTAAAGTACCAAGGGGTAAAAGTGAATTTTGCTTCCAAAAAATGACAAAAATGGTTGTGATTTGCACAATGAGATTAATTATGTATAAAGACATTTAGCCTTTTCATTTAAACCATTAACTGGTCTTATAGTGGGGTTCTGTGATTAATTTCAAATTATAAGAAAAGGGTAAGATAAAATTTATTCTTAAACTTAACAACTATATTTTTAAAAATGTAAAAAAAAAATTGTTTCATTTTACGTGTCATCAGTTTGAGCATCAAACTATCAAATCAAACCAAACCAAATCAAATTAAGCCTTAAGTCTCATCAAATAGGGTTGGCTATATGAGTCATTCTTCTCCACTCAACTCTATCAATGATTATTTAGTTAGTCAAATTAAAAAGATTCATCTCTATTGATTAGATTTGCCCACATCAATCTAAGTATGTCCCTTCTCCTAATATTTTTATTAATCCTTATTGTATCGCATCTCTTCACTACTGTCTTTGTTGGTCTCCGTTGTATATGACCAAATCATATCATTCTATTCTCTCAACTTATCTTCTATCAGTACTACTCTTACCCATTTATAAATATACTTATTCATAATTCTGTCTTTTCTAGTCTTGCTATACATCCACCTTAACAAGCTTATCTCAGCAACACTCATGTTATCTATACATTTTTTAGTTGCTCAACATTCCGTCTCATACAATATCGCTTATTTAAGTATCAAACTATCTTCAGAAATTAATTATTAACAATTCATATTGTTGAGCAATATTTATTAGTCAAGTGACAGTGACACATGCAAAGTTCAGGACGGATAGATAAAAAGTTATTAAGGATTTTGTTAATGTATATACTACAATAGATAAAAATATTTTTATACTTTTTATTACAGTCAATTTTATGCAAAATGTATAATTTTTTAAAACTTTCTAACATGTATTCCAAAAACAAATGGATATTATTAGCTTGGCGCAACAATAAACTCTCCTCTAAAAATATAGAAGTTCAATACTTTCCGCCAATGAAAAATCGCAACACACTAAATTGATCATCCTTTTTATTTTAACTTCCTAACAAATGTAAGTTGGTATATCTGATTCGTAAAAAAATTGTTCCATGATTGGTTTGAAGCACGACGTAAATAATGTCAAATGCTCATGAATAAAAAAAAAATAGAAAAATAAAAACAACTAATACCATCCGCTCGATGTTCTTTCAATCATTGACAACAAAGTTTAAGTTCTCTTTCATTATTGTTTCCTTTTTTAGTGCAAACAAGACAAACACAACCACACAAACTGTTCCAGTCAACGCTTAGTTTCCAAAGATAATATGATATTTCAATTCATGCTTCTATTTTTCCCCCTTCTTCAATTGCATTTTAATTGAATTCTAGGTTTTCTTAGCAACCAAATGGAACATAAAACAAAATAACTTATAGATTATAATGAACTTTTCATCAATGAATGATACAGCCAAATCCATGGAATTCAGTTTTCTCAAAATAAAGATTAAATACAGCGGCATTAATAGTCATTTAGGCACAAGAGTTCCAACGTCCATCACCTTCCACATCTATTGATTCGTACAGAATGTTGGTCAAAATGTCGAGCCATTAAACCCAAAGAAGGAGCGCTGGACCAAACAAAGATAGGCGATATCACCAGTCAGTAAATGAATACATTTATACGAAGTTCTTTTTTTTTTTTTTGGATGGAACATTTATACCAACTTTACGAACTAAAGCATTTAGTGAAAGAATAAAAGCTAAATGAAAAATGAATAAACATTCCCTAGATGGCATTTTCAGTGAATAATAGACAGACACTGTAAAATTACTCCTTTCAGGATGTGAATCACAGTCATGATACGTACAATAAACTACGAGCAACAACGATGAAATGGAGACATGGTATAATTGCTCTTGACTTCTAGAACAGTCTTAATATAGATGCTCAACATGATTCTTGAAGTTGCTAAGAAAATGTAATCTCTAATACATTAGTATTATCACATTCAAATCTCTGGTAAGAATACTGAAATGTAGAACTCAAAAGTTGCATTGGGATTGATGGATTTGAAATAAACAGATTTGTATTTAACCATTCAAGGGTATGGGTGTACAGCTTAAAATTCAGATTTCATATGATGTACAAATAGATTTGCAAGCCGTATATGAATGGCTATTAATGGATAGATATAACAAGGTGAAGTGAACTTGAAATTATCCCAAGAAATAATAGCCCACTCTCATGTATATCTGTGAATCTAAACCTCTAACCTCACCATTTCTTATCCATCCATTCAAACTCAACCTAAACTTTGGGCTTGTTTGATTGGGCAGACTATAGCATAGGATTGGAATTATTAATCCATAATACTCACATCTCAGTGCTTGGTTTGCAATTTTTGTTATCTAGATTAAATTCCAATGGACATTCTATCCAACAAATTTGACCCTTTTTTTAATCTTACAATCAATAATACAAAACAAACATACAATTGACATTATATATTTTCAAATCCATTGCAAAACAAACGTGGACATGAGGTAATTATTTATCTCACTAATCCAGCTAGATAACCAATACTTTACAAATCCCATGGATTATTAATCTCTCACTATTAATCCTTCTAATATAAACTGATAAATAATAGATATTTATCTCTTGCTGCCTATTTTTGACAATTTATCAACAGTTCTTCAGCTGAGCTCTTCACAGTAATAACCACCTTGCCAAACAGTTTAACCTTGCCTTCCTTTTTTGTTTTTCTCCCCTTAGTGCATGGATGTGTCTCAAACAGTTAGTAGTTGAGGCAAGATTAAATATACTACTCACTGTCAATTTGTCATTAAGGTATATATTTTTCAATGTGAATAGTCAAAACTCAACTACAATCACAACAATCTATATCTAAAAGCATTTGTGGTGGTTGATGCCAAAGCATAATTTTAGCATGCTATAGTGTCAAAATGTTATAATTTGATAATCATGGTCCAATGGTGCAAAAATCATAATATGTATATTTCCTTTTATTATTTTCCTAATACCAAATAAATAAAAGAAAACAATTATATATCACGGGATTAATTTATACACGTTAAAAAAAAAATTAACATTTTTAAAAAAATAAAAGAAAGAAATATTATATACTTGAGGGGTCAATTTCGTCATTTAATTAGCCAATCCAGAGGTTGCCTCAATCTACCCATTGCTACCCCACACCCCGATGGGATGGAGTTATCCCACATATGGGGGACTATTAGTCCGACCGGACTATTAGTCTAACCTTCATTTTTCTATCCAAACATTGAACTAATTATTTCATTGAACAAGGAGTCCAATCCCACGGTTGTATCCCACCAAACAAACACCCCCAAGAGTTTTCCAAATCTTGTGCCAAGTTTGGCACAAAGTTTGGAAATGTTACAATTTGGTAAAAAAAATGGGCAGACCAACGGAGATGAATTTTGGAGAAGTCTTGTCAAATTTTGACTTTAACTAGCATGTGTTTTAGCACACCATTGAGGATTCACTAACAGGAACAAAGAACAAAATGGATAAAACAGGCAAATTGTTGGGCCAAGCTAATAAAATTGAAGTGGATGCTGAATGAGTTCGTGGATTTTTTCTTGGCTGGAGAAAAATCATTTGAACAATGAGAGAGGATAAGAAAATTAGGAGCAAGAAGCTTGTAAAAATACAAAAAAACAGTAGATGGAGACACTGGGTTTGTCTTCTAATTAAATGAACCAGACAAAAATGTTGGAACCATTGGGCAGGAATTTCCTTAGCTTCAGTCCAGTGTGAAGAGAACATGTATCAGACACACAAATAAAAATATATATACATATAAAATAATGATAATAACAGAAAGGAACAAATCAATAATTACCTGAACATCATAAAATTTGATATAAAACCGTGAACAATCTATAGAAAGCTTAGTTTGAAGGATATCTGCAATTGTTGAACTCAATTTTCCATTAACACTTGGTCCAAGACCCCCAATTGAGATCAACTCCCCATATGCAGCTGGCTCTTCTGTACCAGCAAATGCAACAGGCACCGCTCCATTCAGCACTATCATCACATACTGAAGAATGAAGGAAAACATAAATGAGCATATGAGTAATGTCAAACAACAAAAACACTGAAATGGAAGAACATATATCCAAACTGATTGCAAGATTAGTAAGCAAGGAATCTAGAAAGGCCTGACGATAAAAAATATAATTTTATATTTCTCTTATAAGCTTGCATATTGATGTCAATTATTAAAACAGGTCAACAAAAACATTCAGACATATATACTGCATTTCTATATGTAAGTACACACATGCAGAGACAGAACGAGAGAGTCAAAGACAGGCAGACAGAGAGTACATTTCTATCTTAATTCTCATAATGATAATATCGTGTACTTGATCTCCAACTCTAACATCGGTATAAGGAAAGAATAAAAAAGTACATCACAAAAAGAAGGCAATAATGAACAAAACCCTGATCCACTTTCGAAATAATAAATCGAAGTAAACAATTTGGCAAATTGTCTTGTAAGTAAAAATACCAGTAAACCATATCTTAAAAGGAGCACACGCTTGGCCTATTTATCTAATTACAAAGCCGTATGTTCTGATAATTGGATACAAAGAAATAAGTTTCACAAGTAACAAATCCAACTAAGTTACATGATTTCTCTGTCTATTCGTCCTAGCCAACTGTGAGGCAATGATATATTTTTTAGGTTCTTCCAATGATCAATGAATCCAACTAAAGAAAGTTACACGGTTTCTCTATGCCTATTCCTTGTAACCAATAGTGAAACAATGTTAATATTTTTTTTTTATTTTGTTCTTCCAATGAAATCTATCCAAAAAAAAAAAACCATTTTTTGCCTCACGAGTGCTGACATTTTGGTCTTTAGCATTTTCTTCTTTGTTTTTCTTCTTCTTTTTTATTTTTATTATTATTATTATTGTTTGGCTGACTATTCCTAGTGACGTATTTTCTGCTGGAAGATTTCCATAGTGCGATGATCATTTCTAATCAATTGCTACTGTGATTTAACAATTTCTGATATGTGCAAGGATCCCACAGTCAGGTGAAACCAAAGAGTCCATTGTGTCATGACTACCATTAGGTTGCCAATTTCATGACTTTGTAACCTGAGGTAGGAAGCTTAACCACTACATTGGAAGCACATGGACAAGCTAGAAACCTTGTACCTTGAAAGCTTGAAGTGCTATGGAAGAACTTCATTGGCATAAAAAAAGCTTTGGACAAGGATTGGACCAAGAAGAACATGAAAAATGGGCTCAGTAGTACATTTGGTCAGCACGGTCAACTAACATTGGAAGTTGGTCACCAAGGTAGTTCTAGTCAATCTGGCGACCAAACACATAGATTGGTCAACCAGAGTAAGTCTAAGTAGGTTTGTCACACCCACAAGCTGGGCCAGCCAAACAATGAAACAACTTGGGTCGGTCAAACAAATTGAAAAGCCCAGCCCACATTTCTCCTTAAAATCCAGCTATTAAGGAGAGGGAAATTGAAGTCTTTAACTAGTATAGATGGGGCATCTAGAAAGCACGGATACGGATACAATACGATATGGATATGACAATACGACAAAATCTAAAAAAGTAGGATACGAGTACGGCTAAGATACGTTTGTAAAAAATAAAAAAATTATTAGCAGTGAGTTACACATAAGCTCAAGAATGTTGAGAAACCATAGTAACTTTATAATGCAAAATATTAATCTTTAAGAATTAGATATTAATTTAAACCAATAGCTAGTTTAGTTTTTAAATTTTCAATAGGTCTTGCAAATATTTCATTTTAATATCAAGTCTAATATGTTGATATTATAATATCAAAACAATCCACAACTTGACCCTATACTTTTTCCTTTTGCACTAGTCAAAAATATTCTATGCAAGTTTATTTGCTTATTTATTTATTGATATTTAATTTTACTATTGTTATATTATCTTATTAATCCTTATTTCTATGTAGTTATAGGGGACATGCATGATACAATCAAGATATGTCAATTTGATGAATTTTATTACTTTAGTTTACTATGCTATTTTTATAAAACAACTAAGCAAAGTATTGTAAAAATATTCTATTTATCCATCCTTGCACTTATATTATATTATGATGTTATGTAAGAAATGATACAATTCTAATTTCGTAAAAGGAGTAATACATGACTTGGAACATTTGATACTTCAAAATTAATTAAGAAATATCCGATAATATGTGACTTGGAACATCCGATACTTCAAAACTAAATATCCGATACTTCAAAATTAATGAAAAATTAATTAAGAAGTATCTGATACTCTTAATAAGTATTTAATACGTATCCGTAAGTATCCAAGGAGTATCGGTATCTGATACGGATACGATACGGATACGTCTCCTTATTTGAAGTATCTGTGCTTCATAGGGGCAACTAAAGGCAATGTGGGACACATTCGAACACATCCCCCTGGACCACCACATATAGTAGCCGAACAAACGGCACACCAATCATAAGTCCAATCAAGTTCTAATACCAAATTGAAAAGCTCAGCCCACACTTTTCCTTAAAACCTAGGTATTAAGGAGAGGGAAACTGGAGTCTTATAACCAGCATAGATAGAGCAACTCCAGGTGATGTGGGACACATTCCAACACACCCTCCTAGACCACAACATATAGTAGCCAAACATATGGCACACTAGTCACAGGCCCAACCAAACTCTAATACCAAATTGAAAACCGCAGCCCACACTTCTCCTTAAAACCCAGGTATTAAAAAGAGGGAAACTGAAGCCTTATAATCAGTACAGATGAAGCAACTCCAGGCGATATGGGACACATTCCAACAAAACATTGGTTGTGGACCGACTAATTGGATCTTTGTAGTTCTTGCCTAGCTACGTGGGCGGACCAACATTTGAAATCAGGCTAGTCAAACATGGGGAATTTTGTAAACTAGCCCTAGGGTGAGATTTCAATAAATACAAAATGTCCCTCATTTGGTATTCTTGATGGGGAACAAGCCATTTGAGAGCAATAGCATCTCTATACACTCTAGATCATATCTCATAGAGGATTTCCCACCTTCTATGAGTGAGTATGTGCTTGTGACGCCGTCAACACATTGTCTAAGAGCCTGCTCCAAGGCAGTCTCGAAGATTGTTTCTTATGGTAGATACAATTTCTCATCTTGGTATTGTACTGTTTTGTTGTATCACACTATTGCCATTACACACACCTACACTCTGGTCCAACCTATGAGATCAAGGTGAGCATCATGTTTTATGTGATAGGAAATTGTGTATTAGTGGTTGTTGGTTTTGGATTGAACCAAGAAAATCCTATTACTTGTTTTTGTTTGTTGTATGGTTATAAAGTTGAAATTTATCCTCATGAAAACATGTTAAGTTTAGTGGAGTTGCACCGATGAGTATTTGGTTGTGGATGTTAGCACAAGAGGTGTGCCAAACAACTATAATCTTGTGTTAATGTTATTACATTTCTTGCACATGCTTTGTATATATTGAATGTACGAGATGAATGCTTAATTCTAGACCACTTACAATATCAATGCATTAGAACATTTTCAGTTGTTGCATACAACCATCTTAACTTTTCCTAGAGTACATTGATAACTTCACCATGTCAGCAAATAACTATGCAAAAGTCTAGAGCTTCGTCCTTCACAGGAAGTTTTGCTGTCTTCAGGTATAGCAACCAATTTCCCAATTCCACATCAGTTGGAATCAAAACAACCTATGACAGTACATTTGGATTGAAAGATTTGGTGAGAAAAAAAGAAATGGATAAAAAAGATAAAAAAAAATAGAAAGGAACACTCCTCGCTTGAATGATTGAAGAGGTGAGAAATGGTGGAAAATAGGAATCTCTTAAAAATGGGTTTGTTTTTCATCAAAATTGGTGAGATTTGGTAAGAAACCAAAATTGTTATATAATTTTTTTCAAAATACTTAAATTGTCAATGTAAATAAATACAAAATATTAAAAATATAAAGATGCATATATACTCTTTATTTTTTATTCATCCGAAAACAATAGTGAGGAACAACAAATTTTAATTTTCTAATTTTCTAATTTTTTAAAATTTTTAAAATTTTCTCACCAAAGTGAGAAACCATAATCTTATCATTTCTTTTCTCATCTGCTCATCAAAATGGATCCTATATAAAGAACATGGCAAAATATTATGCTAGTTTTGGTCCTCAATTGTTTGTAGGAAAGGAAAAACTCCAACTAAACTATTGCATTTTCATAAAGGAGAAAGTGGTGTTTTACTGACACAGAGGGCAATTCTTTGGGTTTTTCCATTACTGAATGCAAAGAGATTGTAACAAATTTAACCATAAATTTTCTTGATACATGAGCAAACCAAATTCTCTAGCAAATTAAAGGATTAAAACCCAGCAATTTAAAAAATAAATAAATAAAAGAAGTTCTGCAACTTTCATAGGGTAATATAATCAAACAGTTGACAGACATTGCAATGACTAATAGCAATGAGAAGAAGAAGAAGAAGAAGAAAGCAGTCTATAACCATAGATTAATGAAATATATATATATATATATATATATATATATTGTTAGGGAAATGGAAGAGGGAAGTGAAAACTCAACAGACTCGGGCTTGCCAATGATCTTGGCAACAGCTTTAGTAGCATCCCTGAGAATGTCAGACGCAATCACAGCATCTACTGGAACATTGGTGAACAGATTCAAAGTGGGCATGGCTTCTTCTTCTTCTTCTTCTTCTTCTT